ATGTTGTTGGGGCTCGGGGAGCCGGTCCCCCCCGGGGAGGGCTGCTGAGAGCAGCCTCGGGCTCATCCCTCCTTCCTTCCTCCTTCCCAGGGATGCCCACCGAGGGTTGCATCCCGCTGGGAAGCGGAGCTGGGCTCCCCGCGTTGCCCACGGGTGATGATGATGATGATGATGATGATGATGATGATGCTCGGGGCTGGCCCAAGGGCAGGGTGTCACACCGGCCACCCCGCCGGCCTCGGGGGCTGCAGGGTGATGGCAAAAAAGGGTGGTCGGGGGTCTGGGTGGGTCGGTTTTCTTCTTTAGAACGGCCTTCCATTTCCACGGGGAGGCTCGGGTGGGTTGGCACGGAGCCCTCTCGGGGGTCCCACGGACCCCCGTGTGCCCCACAGGGAGCGCTGGGCTGGAGCTGGAGGAGTCTGAAAGGCAGCACTCCCAGCTTTCTCCTCCACCACACCTCCCTCTTACCGGCGCCGCTCCCACCTCCAGGGCCATAAAATCTCCAGGGGCTGTTTGTGCCCCCTGTCCCCACGGGTGCTTTGTGTTTTCCCCCCCGTGTCACAGAAGAGGCACAGCATCCTGCCAGCAGGGTTTTACAGACCCTGCTTGTGGGGCTTGCCTTGCCGTGGGTGGGCTCCCCAGCCCTGGGAAAGGGGGGTCCAAGGTGTGGGAATCTTGTCTGGAGAAGATAAGGGATCATTTGCAATCAGGGCTCCAGGTTTGGATGATCAGGCTATGGGGGGGAGGCTGCCCTTGGTGCTGCCCTCCGTGGCTTGGCAGCCAAAACCATGGAAGTGTCTTGCTTGTCATGGGGAAGAAGTGCTGGTTGGAGCTGGGATGTCCCCCTCGGGGCACTCAGGGTTTGCTCTTCTTGCTCTGCTCTCCCCCATTGCTGACAGCAAGCCAGGGGGGGAATTTGCCCTTCTTCTCTCTCCCTGCCAGTCTCGGGGTGTCTCCTGCTCCCTGGGATCTCTGCAGTTCCCTCCCCAGCCTGTCCCAGAGGGACCAGAGGAGCCCATTTTCAGCCCAGCTGCAGTTCTCACAGGATGTGTTTCCCCCTCTGGGGCTGAAGAAGGAGGCTGGGTTTGCTGCTTGTGCAGCCCAGAGGAGGAGGGCTTGAAGAGCCCCTGTGTCCCTGTGGTGGTGGCTTTGTCACCACCCTGCCCTGGCGCGGTGAGGCAGGGACCTCGGTGACGCCAGCACTGCCAAAGACCAGCATTGTTCCCGGCCCTCTGGCTCCCAGCACTGCCACCCCCTGCAGAAACGGGGCTTCTCCCTCTGCCTCCGGGTCGTGGGCTTCGTTTCCAGCCTCTGGAGGGATCCCTGTAGGTAAATCTGTGGAGGATTTGAGGCCAGAAGTGATGGTGAGACCTGGGGGCGCAGAGCTGTGGCTGGTAACAAGGCCCAGCTTGGCAACTCCTGGCTCCTCTGCTGCTGGATGTCAGCACTGGTAAGTTAGGGGTTTCGTTTTGTTCCTGGAGGAAGCAGGAGAAAGCTGGGATTCCTGGCTGAGCTGCCCTGCCAAGCCAGTGCTGGCTCTCGTGGGTCTTCCCTGTTGCATCGTGTCCCTCACGGTGGGCACTGGAAGTGGGTGGAAAACACACGTGGGTGGAGGCTGGAGGTGGTTTCCATCTTGCCACGTTTGTTTTCCCATCCCTGATCAATAGAGGAGGAATCATTAGAAAACTGGGCCGTGCAAGAGTTGCTTTTGTTTTGGGCAAGTGGAGGTTGTTGGAGACGAAGCTGTGGGGATAAAGGCATCCTGTGGGTACAGCTCCCAGGAAAAGCTGCCAGCAGGGAGGTGGGGATGTGGGGCAGGGGGGTGTATCCCACCCCGGCTCCTCTGCTCCCTCTGGACCTGCTCCCCTCCAGCCCCTTGTCCCCAGCATTTGCAGGGATGGGGGAGCCTGATGTGACTGACCGCAGCTCTGCTGGGAGGGCCTGTGATGCTGGAAGGGGATTTCTGCGAGGGCTGGGAGCTGGGCTCTCCAGACCTGCTTTCGCGTTCCTCCTGGCGCTGTTGGTGGCAGATCCAGCCCAATTCCAGGAGTTCCCTCTGGCTGCTGCTTGCGTGGTCCCTCCCTGGGACCCGACACTGACTTAGGGAAGCTCCTCACTGCCTTGTGCTGGGGGTCTGGGCTGGCCCGTAGCCACTTCCAGCAGCCAGGTAGCCCTCCCAAAGCCACCGTGTGCCCAGCCAGGCGGGCGGCCCCGGCACC